CACGAGACCGGAAACGCGTGTAGCAGAATTATGAAGAATAAAATATAATATATATACTAAAACAAATCCACATTATAGCCAAAAATATTTGCGGTTTCTCTCTTTTATAAAATGTACATTTTATCTCGTTGGGACAACTATAAACTTTTCCCTATATATATATCTACCGAAAGGTTCTTTGTGGCCGTATAGGATGCAGGTTCGAATCCTGTCAAAGAACAAATATTTTCTATGAAAATTTCTCGGACATTCAGGCCGGTAAATGTTATTTAATATTGTTTATCATAAATAGAGCATTTGCTTAAATACTTGTATCTATAAAATAACAACGTTAAACATAAAAAATGTCTTTAATAAATAAATTGTCGGACCTTGTCCATTTCTTATATATATATATATATATATATATATATATATATATATATATACTCGACTCTCCCTTCGAATTCGACGTATGAGGTGAAGCAGACCACTTTTCAGGAAACCGACAGCCGGACAACATCACATGAGATTTGATTATAGTGGTGAAGGTTTCGTGCAGGAGCATCCACCCTTTTTGAAGGGCCGAGTACAGAGAGACTGAATATATATATATATATATATATATATATATATATATATATATATATATATATATATATATATATATATATATATTTCAATATGTACTTTGACTATATATATATATATATATATATATATATATATATATATATATATAGTCAAAGTACATATTGAAGGCCAGAGCAATAAAGCAGAGTAACCTACCTAACGAGCCTGTGAAAATGGTCACCAGAACAAGTATTTAGTGAGAGTAAAATTATATTTTTAAAAACTCCAAGGGCACAACAAAGAAGAGGAAGGAGAGGAACGTGTATAAATGGCTGGCAGAACAGGCATTTGGTGGGATAGCAAAAAATTAAAGCCAAAATTATATTAAGAGTTACAAATTAGAGGAAATTATAAAGAGCCATGACCGTTCACGTCCTGAAGGGGCAGGACACAAGGAAGAAGAGGGAAAAGAAGAAACTGAAGAGGGACTTGTATAAAGTGTTGGCTGAACAAAGATTTGCTGAGATAACAAAAAAGAAACTTAACATGTGCCAATAGAAGTAGAAGATGACGTAGAAGAAGAAGAAAAAAGAAGAAGAAGAAGAAGAAGAAGAAGAAGAAAAAGAAGAAGAAATGAAATGTAGAAGAATGAAAAGGAAAAGTAGAAGAAGAAGAAGACGAAGAAGAAGAAGTAAACGAAATAGAAGAGGAAGCAGAAGAAGAAAGAGTAGAAGAAAAAGGAGTAGAAGAAAGAAAAGAAAAAAGAAGGAAAGGAAGAAGGAGAATAATAATGGGGTGCAGTAGTAAAAGAAGAATAAGTAGAAGAAGAAGAAGAAATGAAAAGTAGAAGAATGAAAAGGAAAAGTAGAAGAAGAAGAAGAAGAAGAAATGAAAAGTAGAAGAATGAAAAGGAAAAGTAGAAGAAGAAGAAGAAAAAGAAGTAAACGAAATAGAAGAGGAAGAAGAAAAAGAAGGAGTAGAAGAAGAAGGAGTAGAAGAAGAAAAAGAAAAAAAGAAGAAAAGGAAGAAGGAGAATAATAATGGGGTGTAGTAGTAAAAGTAGGATAAGTAGAAGAAGAAGAAGAAGAAGAAAAAAAAATGAAAAGTAGAAGAATGAAAAGTAA